TGAAATGCACTAAGAAAACTCCTTTGCTGGCAGGAGGCAGAGTGGTTTTCATTAAGGAGCTGCCCTTTATCTCGTCACATTACTGACCTGCCAAGGCAGAGATGGGCTGCTTCCACAGCCTTGAAGCTGCCTCTGGTCAGAAACTATGATAAGAAAGCATTCATTTTTTTTTTCTTAAGATACATACAAAGGAGGGAGGTGTGGCTCTATGGCTGCCGGCTTTCCTCAGTTGGAGTTCCAAATGTACTTTAAATTCTAAATTTTGTGACCGCCTTTGATCCATCAAAGTCTTAAGAACACCGTGGGTCATTTTACTGGTGTTTGTTCGTGCTCGAGGCTACAAACAACCAAATCTGTGACTTCTAAACCTCAGAACTTGAAATACCACCCAGAGTAGGGTCCACTTATAACCCAGGGTCATAAACACCTAAACTGCAATGGATCATCAGCAGAATAGTACAGGGATTCCTCCAGCCACATTCTGTTGTGACCTGAGTAGAATTCCTGCCATGGTTTCTCACATTGTGATGGGCACATTGTGATTGAGCATTCTTGCCAGGGTATGGCAATAGGATACCTGGCACATAGTTAGCACCTGGGGAAAAACCACCTGTTGCCATTGCCTATTATTGCTATATTATTATTATTATTATTATTATTATTATTTAGGCAGTCTAAAATCTGTAGGCAACATTCTGCATTTAGGTACATCTGTGCATTTTTTTTTTGGGTCTGGGAAGAGACCCATATATTTTATATTCATTTGCCCCCAAAGAGAATAGCAACTAAGCTAGCTAGACTAACTCCCTCCTCTAATTGATGAGTAAAATCTTACCCAGGGGTTGCAATGTTTTTCTCATGACTAACACTGTAAGCCAGAGGCAAGGTCAGAACTAAAGTCCCAAATCTGTTGACACACTTTGTCCAGTGTTTTGAAAAGTGTTGGAAACATTACCAAAAGCAGCCTAGCAGTTACTCAGTCTTACATACAAGTGACCTGTAAATAAAAGTGGGATGGCATGGACGCCTGTTGGTGGCCTCTAGGCAAAAAGAACATACAGCAGACTGGAGGTGTGAGAACAGTGGAGAAAACTCTTGACAGTAACTACCAACAGACAAGAGGGGGGAGGAGGGACTTCAAGTCCCAGGGTAGGCCTGTTCTATTCCAAACCCCTTTCTGTCTTCCATGCTATCTAGCAAGAGGTGGTGACCCCATGACAGTAGTGTGCCTTATGAAAACCTAGAGGAGACACACACACACACACACACACACACACACACACACACACAGTTGATTTCAGAAATAATGCTTCAGTCTGCCTCACCCTGCAAGCAGACACAGCTTTAGGATTTAAAGATTCACACTCCTTTCCTAAGGCTAGGTTCCTTACATTTCTTTCCCATTTTCCTAGTTTCTTGGTGGTTTTCAAAGCAAAGCCCTTGTGGTCAGGCCCTAAACTAGAAGCAGTGGCATTGTTGGATTACTCATTAGAAATGCAGATCGGGGCTCCCCTCTTTCAAACTCACTCTGAGGAGGCTCTGGGGGTGGGCTCTGATTTAACAGGGTTCAGAGGTACAATCAACTTTGAGAACCACTAATTAGAGTCACTGGTGTGGTGGAGAAACCAAGCAGGGGCTGGCTTGGACCAGCCCTTCTGGAAAACCCAATCCCTAGACTACCTTTTTTTTCTTTTAATTTGAAATAAAACTGGAATTAGATTAGTAGCCCAGACTCTCCTGTATTTTGCAAACAAGAGATCTTGGAGGGAAATGGAAAATAAATTCAAAACCTTTCATCCCAGTCACAATGACACATTCATTTTAACATTGTGTGGGAGGGGGGGGGCAGAAAGAAGGGCAGAGCTGGTTTGTTGAGAATTCTCAGTTTCAATGGAATCCACTGTAATTTAGGGGCAATTAGTGTCCACACATTCTACACCCAGAGGCTCCATTAATCCTGTTAGTTTTTATATACTAACCAAAGCCAACATCCTTGACTGTATTTAGGTCCCTTCTATTCTGTCCCCACCGCACCCCCAGTGTTGTCCTCCCCTTGTGGGAGTCACTTCAGCTCCTGGGAAAGGGGGGAAAGCCACTACTTTGGCTGTATCCAGACAGCTTCTGGGACATGAGTCCTCTATTGAGCCCCACCCTCGAGAGCAGGAAGCACCAGCTAGCTGCCTTGCTAGACCTGCCCTCTACCTGACTTGATTCAAGTCACTCCTGACTGTTCCATGCTATTCTAGGCAGCCTTCCCTGACAGCATCTTCCTTCCTCATGACTAAATAGCCAAACTGCTAAGATGGTACTGATGACTTCCATTGCTCCGTCTCTTTACTTCACTCCGCATCCATCCGCCATCACGACCACTAATCCACCTTTACCCACCCAACACCCTGCAACTCACTCATAGTGCCCCATCTTGGTTTCCAGATGTTATGCGACCTACGAATTGCTTAGAAAAGTAGGCGACAGGGTAGGTGCCAAACAATATCCTGATCTGCAGGCAGAGGTCTGTTAGCAACCACTGTCGCCTTCTACCCACCCACCTAATTCCTTGGTGCCAGAGAAAAATGCATTCAACTCTCGGTTTGTTTGTCTTCGAGATGTCTCCTTACCTAGGGAGATCAGTGCATCTTCTTCCATTTAAAAATCCTTAAGGAGACTAAACCATCTCTATGTAACACAAGCACAAGGAATAAAGTGAAGGATGTCTACCTCTTCAAAATATTTTCATTTTTACCCCATTTTATCCACAAAATGATGCAGTGAGTTAAGGGTGGAATGAAATATCACACCCAATTTAATGGTAAAGAAACTGAAGTTTAGCTAATAGGAGCAGTTTATCTAAAGCTGGAACCTTTGGGAATACAATACAGATGTATGATTTCTGGTGCTGTATTTATCTACTAGATCCATGGTTTGACTTCTGGGGAAGCAGGGGAAAGGAGAGCAGGTTGGCTCTGGACACTCTACTCCTGGTTTGACTAAACTGAGCCCTCTCTAGCTTGGAAGCCACTCCGTCTCACATTTCCTGTCATGCATTATCAGTATAGGGGCTGCTGGCCCAGTGGCTAAGAACATCGATTGGCCTTAAAGAGAATCAGAGTTAGGTTCCCAGCCACCATGTAGGGTAGATCACAACCATCTGTAACTCTAGCTCCAGGGGTCTGACACCCTCTTCTGGACTCTGATGGCATCCCCACTCACATTAGTGTATGAACATAGTCAAAAAGCAAACACATCTTAGAGCGTCCAGTGTAAGCAGCAGCCTTAGATAACACAGTCGGGGAAGCTCTGAAAAGTCAAGTTCTTGCAGGTACTCACACCTTCTGGCTTGCAGCAGGTACAGGCAGTAAAGTTGTACCAGCCCTCAGCAGAATATGAATAAACAACCCATCCTCGTAGTGGAGTTTTCATTGAGTCTATACACATTGAGTAGCTACTATGTGCTAAGCACTATGCTGGGGTCTGAGACTAGAGCGTTAGAAAAAAGATAGCGAGGTGATGCTTTGGGACAGGACTGACACCCCCCATAAATCCAAATCAGAACAAGAGCAACTAAGAAAGATCTGGTTGCAACATGGAAGGGTAAAAGAATAGTCTCATCCAACGAGGAAGACCGGCTTGTAGTTTGTGGAGGTAACAGCGAAGATAGGTTTTCTTGGCCAAGTGAAGAGGAATCACATTTTGTTGCAAAAGAAACAGTGTTGCTCATGCATGAAGGGTCAAGGGCCTGGCCTGGCTGTGGAATCTGGAGCAGCTGGAGCTGACAGGGGCATGGTGAGCAGGAACAGAGCAGGGAGGGTGGGGGCAGGGGTCAAGCAGAGCAGGCCTGTGGATTGCTGCAAAGCAATCTAGGCAGCCATTGGAGGAATTTCAGTAAGCAGGGCCAGAACTGAGTGATAATCACGATGAGGATGGCTAAGGCCTGAGGAAAGACTGAAGCTGGTCACAAATACAAGAAGAGACTCCAGAGGAGGCTGTTGGGTAGGTTTCCTTTGTCACAGAAGTGCCCTTAAGAGATTTTATAACTTAAAAGTGGAGTCAGAGTAGGCAGTATGGACAAGTTAGCAGGAGAGGGGAAATAAAATCACTCCAAATTCAGTCTGGCTTCCAGCTCACACATGTGTAATGGGACAGGCAACTTAACTCACTTTTTTTTTGTCACAATTTCCCCACTTGTGCCAAGAGGGCAAAAGTCCAGCTTCCCTGGGTTCTTAGGAACCCCAATTAAAGTGCCTTGTCAATGGAAGCATAAGGAAAATGTGTACTGCTATTTACCAGGTAAATGAATTTAGTTGAGTAAAAATAGGATGACATATTTTAAGATCCAGGTTAAAAATAAGTTATTAGAAGCCAGGCTTGGTGGTGTGCCTCTTTAGTCCCAGTATTTGGGAGGAAGAAGCAGGTTGAGCTCTGTGACCAGCCTGGTCTCAGAGATACATACTGAGATGCTATCTCAAAAAACCAGAAAGAGAGGGAGAGGGAAGGGGAGGGAGAGAGGGGGAGGGAGGAGAGGAAAGGAGAGAGGAGAGGAGAGGAGAGCAAGGAAGGAAGGGAGGAGAGCGAAAATAAGTTCAGACCAATTCTGTGTTCTTAGAATTTTTACTTGTTCTCCATGATTTAAATTTTTTTCCATACAGTATTTTTTGATCATAGTTTCCTTTCTCCCAGCACCTCCCTGAGTTTCCCCACCCATTCCCCTTACTTAATGACAGTGCACATTCTGAGGTCTACTTATAAACATAGGACATTTCTCGAGCCTCATTCAAGTATTTACCATATCTAGTTTATATGTGTTTCTCCCCATACTTCAGTTAATAATCAGTTCTGACTGCAGTGTTGAAGGTTGAACCCAGAGCTTTGTACACGCTAGCCAAGCACACTGCCACTTGGAGCCACACCCCCAGGACCCAGGCTTTGGTTTTAAGGAAATGTAAACAATGCCACCAGTGACATCAGAATCAATAAACACATTTTCCCCCCTAACTTAACAGGTCATTCTGCCAGGTCGGTGGCACTTGACATTGGAATCAACTGATGAGCTTTTCAAACCCTTCTCATCCGGATTCAGGAGAATTCAGCGGACATTTCTGCTCAGGAACAGAGAGAGCATCACTTGAAGTTCTCGGCGACAACTCTTAGGTGGACTGAGGTAGAGTGGTACTAGTTTTTAAAAACTTCCTGGGAACTCTGGGACTGAGGGTAGCTACCAAGGAGCCTTTGGTAGACTAAGTCTGTGTCTCACTCAGTAGAGCATGGGTTTCTGATCAGTAACAGAACATCAGTAGGGACAGAAAGGCTAATAGGCAACGTGAATTGAGAGCCAATGTCAATCATTGTGTTAAGCACATTATAAGAATAATTTCACTGAATCTTTGCTGCAACCCTACAAAGTAAGCAACATACTTGTCTATTACTTCTGTCAAAGATAAACTATCAGAGGACCAGTAGTAACTTTCTCAAGGGTAGTGTTGGACACAAATACAACAGTAGCTTCCTTACAAGCAACCCTCATTTTAATTTGTTTTTGGAGGAGGAGGAAGGGTCTCACTATATTGTCCAGGCTGGTCTTGAACCCCTGGTCTCAATCAGTCCTCTTATTTTAGCCTCTTAAGCACAGAGCGGAACAACATGTGTATGGTATAGTGCCACCCTGTGAGTGTTTTCTTGATGCCTTTCACTCCAGGATCTTTCGCTGAACCTCTTATGAGGCTTCTTTCCCTACTCTTAAGTTTTATGGTGGGAAAATGAAGATCCACAGACGCCATGCTCTTTATTCCCTGGTCACAGAACTGGTGTCTATACGGTCTTAGGAAACTTCTCTAACGTCTCCTGGATATGGATTTCTCATTCCAGAGAAAACAATACACATGCATGCCTGGTGCCCTTGGTGAAGAGGGCATTGCATCCCCTGGAACTGGAGTTGCAGATGGTTGTGAGCCTCCATGTGAGTGATGGGAACTGAACTCAGGTCTATTCTCTGGCTAATGGGTACAAGGTATCCAGTCAGAGAAGAAGCATTCAAATGGCTGGATCACAAATAACTGTTGTCAAGCAGACAGCTCAGAGGGGAGAAGGACAGTTCCCAGTAGCCCTAGAAGTCATCTTCTTTCTAGAATCCAGTTACACCAGGCAATCTTCAGACCGCAAACATACATTATTAGCACACCAGGGAGGCCATCCTAGTTTGCAGCACACAGCACCAAGGGATGTGAGAAGAGCTTCAGTCTTTCCAGTGTATAAAGGAGAGATGATGACAAAGCCACTCTGTGATCACACTGCAGCCCCTGCCTCACAGCTGAATAAAGGGCATGAAATCGGATGTTTTCCAAACACAGAACAAAGCAATGGAAAATCTACCTCCTTTCTCCTGCCATAAAGAACATCTAAACACATAGCATTTAATTTCCGAATGGAGCAATGTTCTTTTTTTAAGGGAAATGTTAAGCAGGAATTAGAGGCAAGATGGGCGGTAACTCTATCCTCAACCTTTTCATTGTTAATAGCATTTGGGGATGGGGGGCATTGGCTCTGCAGTGAAGTGGGAAAAACCAAAGTCTATGTAAATGAGAATCGACACACACTGATAAACCAAGCGCCAGACCCGAGGTCTTAATTACACAGGAGTCTAGATGTCAACATGAATAGGACTTATTGACGCTCAGAGACTTCACTCGGTATTATGTCAGATGACCTTCTTCTGGGAACAGAGAGCAAACTGAAGGTTTCTCATTACTCGGGGCCACGTTCACAAATGCCAAAGGGCTATAGTCATGACTAGACACTTTTCTGGGTCCAGTGTAGTGTTGAACCCAAACTACAGAACTGTAGAAGTACTGGCATCAACCAATAAGCAACAAGCAAACTACAGTGTGAAGTCAGTGCTCCAAGTAACTTAGAGTTCTTAGAAGCCAATGTCTTCTCCCTTCAGTGCCCGAACCTATCCTCATCCATTTAAGTAGGTAGCATCATTTACAACAACTAAATACATGTATGATCTCACTACAGCAACTGATGCGCCTGTGAGGTGCAGAGAAGGGTCAGAAGCCCCCTTTTAATGGTGATGAATCTTCAAAGAAAATAGTAAAACATTGGTGTCACTTAAGATGAGAACACTCCGAGTGGCCCACTCATACTCCTATTGACTTGAGTTTCACAAAGCTTTCTGCCTCCTGGCTCAAGCTTCTTTCGTTAGACTATATAAGGGTCGTTGCCCTAGTGTTGTGTACAGGTCATGTTTTTAAAGATAAGGCTACATTCAGGTTAGTGAATAACCCGATAGTTCTCAACAGGAGTTAGGGACATTTTCCTTCATATTGAAAAATAATACACTCTCCCCCTCCTCAGCACTAATTAAAGTGTCAGGACGGAGCCCCAACACTGATTTGACACATGACATAACGTACCATGTAATCGGACATGTTTTACGCTAACATCAAAGCCCTGTCTGGGATAATGGAGCAAGATATTTAGTGCGTGTCTGTTGCAGTCTGACATATAACTCCATCCAGCTTCATTCTGCAGGCCCACGCTCACCCAGGAGATTAACCCGGCAGGCTGCAGTGAGAAGGGACAGAGCAGGCTCTGACAGGAGGTCCAAGATGCAAGAGAAATCCAAACAAATCTACCTGCTTAAGGAAGACTCTCCCCAAGACTGCCACACCGAGACCTCAACGTCCTGTGGACGTCTCGGGCAAGTGTTATCCCTGCCACTCATGTGGCACATGGCCATCTATGACTTCCTGATGACATTATTCTACACCATTTTGTTTGCAGTGCTGTTTAACAACTTTGTGTGACCATGTCTCTCACTCCGAATAAACCTTAACAAAGGATGGAGTGCTTTCCCGTATCTGTCTGTCCTGACTGGCTTTCTCACCCCATCTGTGAAGGATCAGGCTTTGGACTGTAGATAAAAAATAAAAATAAAAAATAACTAAAAATAAATGACCAAGTATTAGAAAAATGAGCATCAATTTCAGTGTCTTGGAGGTGTCAAATTACTATAAATGTTTACTCTCTATTTCACGAACTTGTCACAAACCAGGAACCCACAGGATGCCAACTGGCACCAGTTGGTGAGTGACACTCTCAACGGCACTAGACCAGAACACTGAATTTCTGGAACAATGGACAGCATGGGAGAACTCCTCTGTGACTGATGGTTTAGTATGTGTGTACACATGTGTGTGTGTGTACGTCGGCATGCGTGCTTATATATAACATGTATGCAAGTCTATGATACATTTAAATAAAATAGCTATGCATATATATAAATTAAATTACACTTTATGTTGAACTAGAAAAAACAATATGGGCCTCTAAGCTTTCTTGTCTAGGTATAAGCTCATTAGTAAGTCAGCCCCAAACCGTGTCGAAAGGAAAGACAATAGAGTAAATCTCTGGGCTCCATGCTTTCATTCCCGAAAGGTCCCTGCAGGACTGGAGCCCATAGTCTTGTTTTACAGCATGGGCAGTGAAACTCGTTGGACTATTTTAAGGTCACACGGGTATCTAGTGATGGAAACAGGGCACACATGAGAGATTGCTCGACTGGATAATTAGTAATACAGAGGGGAATGGACATATTCCTATCACCTCTGCCAATGAAAAGTGGCTATACAATAATGGGATGCATTGGATAAGATCTAAGGGTGAACTTCTAGGAAAAAACCTTACTCCGGAGACAGGCTCTTCTCTTGTGCTGGGCATTCCTTTCATCCTATACAGAGATGGAGCATGAGACCAGTACACCCAGGAGACAGAGCATCAAGAGAACCTCAGAGGCAGAGCAGGAAGCCAACCTTTTCCCTACCTGACCCTCACCACATGAGAAGGCAACCTATTACACCTCACTCCAGCAGGCACCGCTCTGTTACTTGCAGTCAAAGCACCTTACCTCATACGAACTCAAAATACACAGTGACACCATGATACAGAGCTTCACCAGTTCTGAGCAAAAGCCAATGCTTGATCCACACTATTGGCCAGAATTTCAAAGGAGACAATTATTTAATTTGGGGCAGCTAGACATTGCCCAAATAGCTCTTTGAAATGACATTTAGATGCGAGGGACCATTTTAGATGGAATTACAAAGAGCTTAACTTGGAAAATTTGCATCAAAACTCAGAACAAGAAGGAAGCCTAGAGCATGTCGTGTAATTGCTACCGACTACATTCAGGGTTTAGTTTACCTTCTGGGACACTGCACATCAAGGCCGGAGCAACAGCCCGTGGCTCTGTTTAGGAATTCCCAGGCTCCTCCTGAGTGTTTACAAAACTTTCATGTCTCTACATTGGCTCAATAAAGATTTTTTCTGTTGAGATGGGATTGCCCATCCGTATTTCTCCTACAGTAAGGAGACTAAGTTGTTTTAACAGTTCATTTTGGTAACTGTAAAGCTGACAAACTGTGTACAAACAGCTCAAATTTTCTTAGGAAACAAAACTGCTAAGATGAGGCTTTTGTCTCCACCTTCTAAGACACCCTAGCATGTTTGAAGATTAAGGCTAAGGTGAGGGTTTCTTTCTTCAGCTAAGCCCTCATCCCTCCTGCCCTTGACAGCTTAATTTCCTGTCCTCTTTGGGAGACAGACGGATGAATATTTAGTGTAGAACATGATTGTGATTAAGCTTCCAAATGTGTCTTCATCTGGATTCCAGCTGGTGTAGCATCTCAATTACTCCTCCACTCCCCTATGGAAGCTTCATATTGATGTAGTGAGCTTTACATGATGGCACTGGATTAAAAATCTCCCAGGACTCTGCAATCTTCTAACCTCAATCAATTATCCCTTAATGAAAGGGAGGAAAGGGGTTGCGCATACATATCATGACCTGATATGTCCTGCAAACAGGCTCCAGGCTGTTGTTGGTTCAGTCTTGAAAAGGATCTAAAAATCTCAGGCTTCCTTGCTTCTGTTCACCCCTCTGCAAAAAAGGTGGGTGTGTTAATATGAAGCTGGTAAACTCTGAAGCAAGTGATTACAGTCATACTGTTAAACAATATGTAAAGAAGGTTGCAAAAAGGTTTAGCTGTTCCACAATTTCTTTATTGAACAAATAATCCTGTTGGACCAATTACTCTCTGCTGTGTTGCCTGTAATACATGTCTAAACTAGTAAAAGTTACAGTACCATTCTACAAATCTATTCTGCACACCTAGGATATAAACCATTGTTTGAGGTTTTTTGTTTGTTTGTTTTTTGTCCCATTTCTTTTGGGAGGAAAGCCTGACTAATTTGCATGGCTCTTTCATTAGTTTGCTCAATTTTTCATTCAGCAAACATTTACCCAGTGCTTAGATGGTATGTTGAACACTAGGCATAGACCTGACATGGTCTTTGCATTTCATGGGTCTACCCAAGGTACCAGACATGCAGAGGTAATCACTGCGTGTTATCACTGCTGATGGAGCTAAGATGCACGGGACACACAGGAGTCACTTCCCTCAACTCAGGAAGGATTTGCAGAGCTTTCCTCCTGTGCATTTCATTTACAGTTTCCTCAACACTTAGGCCAGATCTTTTGACCACAGAACAACTATGTCTTTTCCCTTCCCTCCTCTGCCTGCCTCCCTCTCTTCTCTAATACTGTTATATAAACATATGTCAGACACTCCTCAATTCATCCACTTACGATGCAGTGTTAGGAAAGAAAAGGCAGGTTGAAGTTCATTTTCTAGTATATCTTCCTTCCAGTGTTACAGTTGACAGGTGTTTGGAGAGAGGTTGCAGTCTGTGTGGGTGGGCATTCAGGGACTTGCTCCAGAAAACCAGACCAAGCCTGCTGGCTAACAATGAAGTTAGTATCTTCCACCTCCCTGGGATGAGACTAGCAACCAGACTCAGAACCAACAGAACGGTAGAGTCTCCAGGATCCCTTCCTGGTGATAAAGGGTGGTGGAAGATAAGCTACCCACCTCAGCTCTCATTAAAATAAAATCTTGGGGTTTAAAAGAAGGCATCTCTGAGTAGGAGTGACACTGCTTTCTTCCACTTGCCTTCCTGGTTCTGTGACACTGTGTATACTGCAGGCACACAGGGTACTACTTCGATATAAGGAAAATGGAAGACAGAGAAAGAACATTTGCTAGCAAGATAAGACCGTCTCTCTAGCTCATAGGTGTCTAGGAGAACTCTCAAAGTCCCCAATCACTCTTCCAGATTGTGACCCAAGGCAAAAAAAAAAAAAATGGAGTGTCACAATTCTTCTGTCACACAGAAATACTTAAAACACATCTCCCTGAATGTCAGGGGTAGGGGGTGGGAGGTCCTGAGAAACCAGAAGATGCTGGAACAGTAGCCCAGAGCGCTATGAACTCATGAAAAATTAATCCAATCCTCAAAGTTAGCACTGGTTAAGGGCTGTTCTACATAACAAAAAGTTCTCCATTGCATTATTAAAAGCACTGCTTGGTATCGACCGATTAATTTCAAAGGATCTGTTCTTTGCATTATAAGTTATCAAAGACAGATGTCCTAGAAGGGTCCTCTCTATCAAATCTGGCACAGGTCTGCTCTCCCAGGGTTATAACTGAAATTCTTAGCATGGGTTGAGTACCTTTTCTCCCACTTTAACCTAAATGTGTTGTGAGATTTCAGCTAAATGCCCAAAGGAAGACAAGATTTATGAAATCTGGAAATCAGTCTGTTTTCTCTTGGGGTTGGTATTCTCTTTAGCTCAGGCTCTAGGATCCCACGGGAGTTTGCTGCTACCTCTGTGGTTTGTAATGAATATTTGCCAACCAGAAAAGCAAACAGGTATGTTCAAGCAGAGGCATAAGATGGGGGGAGGGGACTGAGACTTGGTATTCCAAACAGGTATGCCCCATTTCAAGAAGTGCTGCTGTTCAAAAGCAGGATAAATGGTATACAGCAACGTGATTGGTCCATTTACAGAAGAAGATTCACCATGGGGCTCCAGGAAAACCAGTTTCTTAGTTTAATGGTTTTTTTTTAAAGATATTTGATGAGTATGAGTGTTTTGTCTGAATATATGTGTGTGCACCACATGAATAACCTGTGCCCAAGGAAGCTCAAGGAAGGCTTTGGATCCCTTGAAACTGAAGTTACAGAGAATTGTTAGCTGCCAGGTAGGTGCTGGGACCTGGACCAGGGTCCTCCCCAAGAACAAGCCCATCTAACAATGGGTCTGTCTCTCAAGTCCCTAGTTAACAAGCTTAATTATTTACAAAAAAATGAATGTTTAACGTACAATGCATTTATTACTTAAGGGCTGACACGTTGGCTGTGCCACTGTTGATAGCTTCCTTCTACTGAATGTCTGCTATCACTGCAGCTGTCCTCACACAGACACTTCCTAACCTCACCTTTTCAATAGTTCCTGAAGGCTACCTGGAAGAACCGCATTGCACGCTAGACAAAGACGGGCTTGTCTGAGGTCAGCTACCCAGCACCAAGCAGGGATTCAACACCAAAGCCTCGCTTGCTTTGCACTCCTTGGTTCTGGTCTCTGAAGAAATCAGGACTTGATGGTCAAACTTACAGCCTCATTCATTTGGGCTAGCTGAGACATACAGTGACTCCAACGTCCTGGAAAATTTTGAATTTACAAAATTTCCACAGGTTACTCACAAAGAATGCATAATAAATTCTGTGGTTTTGCTTTTTTTTTTTTTTTGCTGGTTATCCTCCAGGATTTAATTCAGTGATAAGAATAATTATAAACCACAGCCCTAGTATATATAAAGAAAATGGAAACACGCAACTAAAATTAATGAAAGCACTTTATTCCCTTAAATTCGTTAAGCATAACTGGGTAACTTGCCTTTCAGATTCTCCTTTGGGAAAGTCTACATAGTCTTAGGTTAAA